ATATCGCACTCAATAAGCCGCCGCTACAATCCTCACAGGAAGTGGAATGCATGTCGCATCCCAAAAGAGGCCGTAAGAGCCTTATTATTTTTTGTTCTGGATCAAGTTCTGTATAAGTCTATCTGAATGTTGATCCATTCATTGCTTTTCACGTGATTGATTCTCAGTCTTTCAGCGGTATTGCCATGGCTCTTGTTGCCGGTGTTTTTTATGGGATGACATTTGTACCGGTCATCTACATGATGGACAACCCAGAAAAATTCCCAAATTATCCAGATGATGGACTCACTTACGTGTTCTCTCACTATTTTGGAATCTTTCTTACCTCTACTGTGATGTTCGTCGCTTACGCCATGGTCAAGTTAGTCTTCCGATGCTTACGTTTTACCTTCAAATACAGTGCTTACCTGTTCAATTGTGTGTAAATGAATCAAGTTTATCAGAACTAGAAGGCTTGCGGCGGGTACCCAGGTAAAATGATAGCAGGGGTGCTAAATAGTGGGAAAGTGGCTAGAAAAGAAGTTGAACGGTCTAAATCCAGCGAAACAGCCACTGCTGTGCCCGACAGTGGACGAGTACACGGCTAATACGCGGTTTTTTGGACGAGTTTCACGCTGACATACTGCCAACTATGGCTTGGTAGATAATTAGCTACTACCCATACTATCGCTCCATCCTTACATTCTATAAAGCAGAAACTTTGTGTGTCGGTTTGTCGGTATGTAGGTATGTATGTATGTATGTATGTCGGTTTGTATGTCTGTCCGTCCGCAAAATGCTTTACGGGATTAAACACGTTAGTGAAAGAAGAAAACGACCGCTAGCCAAAACGGGAACCCATCGGTGCAGATGTATCAATCCAATGATTTTCATTTGCGATAACAGCATACTAGTAAGCACAACCACTCGGTACACTCCGAGCCATTGCACGAGCTGCTGCCGTGGCAGCTGGACGTGTGCTCGTGCGGGGGCAGGGTGGGGGTGCCAGGTCGCCCTGCCTCCTTCTCCTGCATGTGCTCAGCCGGAGCTGAGCACATGTATTGGAGGGAGGCAGAGGGAAGGGGTCGCGGGGAGGGGGGGGGGGGGTAACGAGTGAGGCGGTGAACGTAAGCCGCGTTTCCAGTAGAAACGCGCATGCGATGAGGAAACAAGTGGCGAGTACGGAATGGGGTGAGGTGAGGTGAGGAAGGTGGGAGTTAGTATCGAGTGACCCCCTTCTCCCATCCTCACTTCCTTGCGCGTACTCAGTCGGATCTGAGCCCATGCAGAGGGAAAGGAAGGCATACGGAATTGAATCGGGCAAACTGGGTACAGTGAGCGGGGAATGCCGTAGCGTACTATTGGAATAAGGAGCAGCGCGCAAGACAGGAAGGAAAGAAGCCCTAGCAATAACTGCAACTAACCATGTGTACAGCAAACGAACATAGGAAGCTGTTTGGATTTGAATATCTGCCCCTATCACTAAGCCAATCACTGTGATAGACTCTGTGCTATTGCAGGAGCTGCGCTTGGGAGCTGGACGTGAGCACGAGCAAGGCGGTGGTAAGAACAGTGGCGGCGTAGTGTCCCTATGTTGCACCAGATGCTCAGGTGGCGGCTGCATCCACGTGTGGGAGTGGGCGCCAGTTAAATAGGGTTACTGGGATATGATGTGGTGAGGGGATACCAGATGAGAACGGCGATTTCGCGATTAGGAGCACATAGCGCCTGCGGCGTCTACGGTTGCGATAAGATGGGAAGAAAATGGATCGATCCGCAATCGAACTGGCAACGCGATTAATGCTGCTATTATGCAAATTGTGGTAGCGTTTTGGATATCATAACACCAACTCCACAAATAACCGATAAGCCCGTCCATAAACACAACCATTTAGTGCACTCAGAACCATTGCACGGGCTATTCGCGTAGCAGCTGAGCGTGACCTGTAGGGTGGCTGAGCGGGGAATAGCTGAGGTTAGTTTGGGGATAGGTGAGGTGAAGGGGTACCATATTGGCGCGACCGACGCTCGCCTGAACAGGAGCACGCAGCGACTGCGGAGACCGAAGCATCCATGGCTGTCATAAGATGGGGAGGAGAGTAATCGATTATCCATGACCAGATTTTGAACTTTTCATTATGAAAGTGCCTCTGGAGACATATGCGCGCCTTTCTAACATTCCATATTGAGTTAGAAGACAGCGGCGTTAGTCACGACTCTAAAGCAGTTGCATGAGCCCGGCGAAGCCGGGCTTCCAAGAAGGAGGAGAGCTCGGCGTTAGCCGGGCGATCCGACTGGTAAAATAATTAAGCAGGCCACTATTACCGGAACTATCAGCGCCAGCCCGACATAATCTCCATTATGATAAATGAAGGCGGTTAATAGCGTTAGACTGCGTTAATACTTTAGCGGCAGCGTAGCGTACCGCTTCCAGGCCTGTAACGCCAGCGGCAGTGCCGAAGAGCAGGATGATATGCGCTTGAGCTTCACACAGACGTTTTCTCGAGCGTTTCCAGCGGCACCAGCGTTTTGCTAGCGCTTGCAGCGGCAGGGAGTAGAGACTATGTGGCCGTGAGAGACGCGGAATCGACGTGTATTGTAGAGACCATGTGGCCGTCGGAGACGCAGAAGCGATGTGCATTGTAGAGACTAAATGTGGCCGTCGGAGACGCAGACAATGTGCATTGTAGAGACTAAGGCGAGTTGATCAGCGCGCAACCGATGTGTTTTGTACTCCTCCAGCTTCCCAACTAAAGTCCTACTCACCCTGCCGGCTGCAAACTGCTACGCAAAAAACGCTGGTGAACCAAGCTGGAGAAACCGCTGGCTGATCGCCTGTGAAGACCTAGATCGATATGCATCCTCTCTTCGGCACTGCCGCTGGCGTACGCTGGAAGCGCTACGCTACGCTACGCTACGCTGCCGCAAAGTATAAACGCAGCCTTAAGACAGGCTATACAGCCATTCTTGGGCGTTCAGGTCGATATGCTGCACCATGATAAAGGCGCTGTTATGGCGCCCTTGGTTCGGAAGGAATCACGGTAGCTAAAATAGAGGAGCTAGGGGTTGTACTAGGTCGCCAAATACGCAGGAAGTAGTCCAATCTTCTTCTCCGCTAGCCTGCGACCGGAGGTTTCACTTATTCCGGTCCCAAGTGGCTTCTTTTGCCGGATGTCGTTCCTCAGTAAGATACTTCCTGATAAAGCCCTCCATACCGTCAGGAGTAAAGTTCTTAATAAGGGCACTGTTTGTGACAACCGTATCTTCCATCATGGCGCAAACACCGTGTCTTCGGGGAACCTACAAGTTATACTGACGATTTCTGGCACTGCTCCATATCTTACTAGCTCCCTATAACAGTAGTAGAGACAGTGGGTCTCGCCTCGCCGTCTCGTAGCTGAACCCTGTTCATGAAGCTTGACTTGCTCATACCCCTCGAGCACCAACTGGGAAAAAAACACCAACTGCCGTTGTAGATGCCAGTAGGTCGAAAACGGCTTTAGGTGTCTCTTTGTAGTTCGCAGATTACGAGAATTCACTATTTGCCTGTATTTTACATGTGAACTGCTGGCGCGGGAACGCTTCCATAATAGAATCGCAGAAAGCCTGGCTTGCGAAACTGCTGCTGAAAAATGGAAGGACAAAAACGTAGCTAACGAATGGAGGGTGAAAATAACTTTGGTCGCTTATGAAAATTGGAAGTGATATTTGTTGTGCAGTCATTGTCCTTGCAAGAGAGAGGGCGTATGAGGAAGCGTGGATGGTAGCGCGGCCAGGACGGCTTTTTCCACCAATTGATGCCATCCTGAGCCTGCAACAAGTGGTGGAAAACTGTGTTTCAACCCACGCCTCTCATGCCATCTCGATGCAGGGATACTTACTGGGTAACTGTCTTACTGAACGTCACCATTCTTTTGCAGGCGAAGCAGTCCACTGGTTCCATCATTCATCGTTTTACCGTCACTTCTCACCGGATTATTATGGGCGATTGCACAGTCGTCATTTTTCGTCGCCAATCAGCATCTCTCACAAGCAGTTACGTTCCCGATTATCACTATGCTTCCTGGATGTGTAGCATCCGCTTGGAGTATACTCTACTTTCATGAAATCAAGGTGGGCAAGTTCGAGATGTTTTGTAAATTATCCCTTTATTCAGTTGTCCGTCATTCGCCTAAGTA